AAGAAATAGTCAATCAGCAAAATCCCTAGGAACCTCATAAAAGCCTGTCCTGATCCATATCACTCAGTAGCAATGATATTTTCCTTGTTGCTAGGCTACCCAAAAAGTAAACCTTTCCTTTTCCTACTCTCTCTTCTTGGTAAATTCTTCTACCAACTCACAGCTCCAAAATCCACAGCAGCAGTTGAGTTTATGGTGTTGATGGTGATGATGGCTTGCCTCCAAATGCATCAAGTTGTTTACTGTAAACATCTACAGCTTCCTGTATGTCAATCAACCTCAACAACACAGTGCTTTGAAAAAAGGCAATACAATCAAATACCTCTGAACTCCGGGTACTTACATAGCATTCTGCCCTAGGATGCACACAAATATTAGACGTCCTTCCTTTCAATACAAGTCAGAAAATAAAATAAAAAGGAAATAGCAACAAAAAGAATATGCTCCCCTCCTCCCCACCCCCAAATGCTCACCTTCTTCATGTTTTTGAGAGGCCAAGAAAGGGTTCAAATCACTTCCAAATGTACGTCCTCCAGACTGTTTTTGGGATGTGCCACTGTCATTCGATCAGAATGCAACGACCTTTGGTTTTCTTTCCATTGTTAGATTTCAGGCCCATGTGACTATGATTTGTAGCTGAGAACTATTGCATTTCTTCTCAAAACCATGGGCCACCTGAAGTTCGGGGCTGGTGGAAGTTGACATGAGTGAGGTTCCCTGGTCCTTTGAGGCCACCCCCAGCTAGTCAGGTGCTGATGGATCTGGATGATGGGGGGTTCTTAAACCTGATCAATGACTCTCCCCTTCCCCCAATCGGCTTGGGATTCAACCTTCCATTATGGGGATGGTCAAGAATGGGCCTCCTGGTCACATGAGCTGCTGTCACAGACCTCATATGGGTGGCCACCTCGGAAAGCTCAGCACTCTTGGAAAAGCCTCATACTTTGTGTTGGCTGTGGGGCTTGGGGGTGACTAATAGCAGATCCCCTCTGTGATGGTGTGAATGGATGTACTTCCTGGCCTTTCTAAATATAGATTGCATCTCTGATTGATGGGTAGAACTGGGTGGGGGACCATATGCCCTCAGAGACACATGAAGTGTCTTGGGGACTGAGGTGGGAGAGGGGGAGGAGCTGGGTGGCCCTAAGCAGCAAGGCTAGTTCATGGGTTCTTCTTGGCAAGAAATGCAGGTATTTAACTGGTGGGGAGATACAAGGAGGTGAGATTGTTGGTTCATGAGGATGTCATGTGAGTAGGAGGGCACTCCTCAGAGAATATGAGAGAGGGAGAATTGTGTGGGGCTGAAGGCCATGCACGGAGGCAGAGACACAGGGCTGCCTAGGCTGTGAGTTGGGAAGAGCTACAGAGGGCTGGAGGACGTGCGCTGCCCACAACCATAGAGTGGAGAAAGAAAGAAGCAGGTAGTGGGAAGAATGTGCCTCTCATTCCTTTTCTTTTTTTTTTTTTTTTGGTGGGACTGGGGTTTGAACTCCAGTCTTTGCACTTGCAAAGCAGGCAGTCTACTGCTTGAGCCACACCTCCAGTATATTTTACAGATGGTGGTCTTGGGAACTATTTGCCTGGGCTGCCCTTGCACGGCAACCCTCCAGATCTCAACCTCCCAAGTAGCAGGCATGAGCCACCATCGCCCGGCTCTCCTTCCTCTTTTGGTGCCACCCTAAGACTCCCAGCTAGGGTTTGAATTTCCTTTACAGGCACCCCCGGATCTAGTTCCTGTGAACAGGTCCTGTAAATCCTGGCCCTAATGGAGTCCTGGATTTGGTTCAGCTCTCACTTCTTTCATGGCCAAGGAACCCAAAATTTACAACTGGTACCCAGCAAGTAGGGGTCACAGGTGACTCTCAAAACCCAGAAAGAATGGGGGTGAGCTTGGGTGGCTCACCGAGCTTGAATCACCCAAGTGCCAAGGCTGTGTTTTGTGAGGTGTTATTGTTGGCAATGAGTATTCAGAACATGGTAGACACTCATTCACAGAGGGATTATTAAACACTAAGAAAATAATATGGAATACAGAGAAGGCGGTTTGCAGTTATTCTTGTGGGGTATTTATAAGAACAAGGATACCAGAGCAACAAACTCAGTAAACAAAATGGCCCAGGTGTAGGATTACAGCTATTTTAAAGCCCAAGGTCACAAGACTTACAAACCAAGACAGTCAGACCACACTCCAGAGTGTTGATCTGTGCCTCTCTTTCCCCCACACTTTACAGATTTCCAGGGCTGGGTGAAGAGGCGTAACTCTGGTAGAGGGCTTGCCTGTCTGGTAGAAAGCCTTGGTTCCATCCCCAGCACAGACACACACACACACACACACACACACACACACAAATCTTCCCCAAATTTCCTATGATATAATGTGTGTGTGTGTGTGTGTGTGTGTGTGTGTATGTGTGCCCTTCCTTTCTCTTTACGAAGTTCTTTATCTTGAGTATCTCAGCTTGGAGAGACTGTGTGTGAAGAAGAGAATCCTAATAATCATGCAAAAAGATTTTTGGCATGCCAATGTTCGTTCTAGTGTTATGGATAACAGAAAATTTGGAGTAATCTCAGTGCTCAAGAAAGGGGGGGCCAAAATGCCCAGGACTTGCTACTTTCGCTGCTTTCTTCTCCTACTCGGTTCCCATGACCCATCCCAGCAGCCAGTCAGAGTGGACCCTGGGTTCTTGCCCCTCCCCCTTTTCAGCTGGAGTTGGGGGGATCCCTGGGGTTCCCTCTCACCTGCTGCAGCCTAGCACCTGCCAATGAGATGAAAGACAGAAGACTGGTGACGTTTTGGTTTCTGTGGATCCAGACACATGTGGGCTCACTGTATCCCTAAGCTCGTGAAGTACTGGGCCAATAAATTCTTTGTGTAAGCCAGTTTGAGTTGGTTTTGGACACTTAAAACAGAGTGTACAAACGGCCAGTAAATACATGAAAACATGTTCAACCTCTTTAGCTAGGCCCAGAAGACCAAAAATCGTATGTTCTCCCTCATATTCAGACTCTAGATCAAGGGCAAACACAGCAAGGGGATTGGAATTTGATCACATGATAAAGCGAGAGCACACAAGGGAGGTATGAGGATAGGCAAGAAACCAAAAAAAAAAAAAAAACAGGATAGCATTTGATGTCCTCAGTGCAAAGGAACTAATGCAGAAACTTTAAAGTGACAGAGGCCAATAGGAGAAGGGGACCAGAAACTAGAGCAAAGGTTAGTTCAAGAAGAATTAATTTAGAAAGTAACACACACACAGAGGAAAGCAATGCAAGTCAACTCCCTGTATAGCTATCCTTATCTCAACTAGCAAAAACCCTTGTTCCTTCCTATTATTGCTTATACTCTCTCTTCAACAAAATTAGAGATAAGGGCAAAATAGTTTCTGCCTAGTAGCGAGGGGATGTGGGGGGGGAGGGGGGAGAAAGGGGATGGGAGGAAGGGGGGAAAAATGACCCAAACACTGTATGCACATTAAAAAAAAAAAAAAAAAGTTCCACCTCTTTATCCATCAGGGAAAAGCAAATCAAAATTTCCCTGACATTCCATCTCACCCCAGGCAGAATGGCTGTCACAAAAAAATGAACAACACAAATGCTGGTGTTGATTATGCACTGTTGGTGGAAATGTAAATAAGTCCAGACACTATGGAAATCAGTATGGAGGTTCCTCATAAAACAAAATAAAACTCACATAGGATCCTGCTACGCCACTCGTGGGTATATACCCAGATAATTCTCAGTCAGCTTATCACAGACACACCTGGGCACCCATGTTTCTCCAGCACTGTTCACAACAGCCAGTTAGGGAACCAGCCTGGATGCTCCTCGACAGATGAGTGCTTACAGAGAATGTAAGATATATGTACTCCGTCATGGCGTGTTATTCAGCCATAAAGAACAAACCGTCTTGCTGGGAACTGGAGAGCATCGTGTTAAGCGAAATAAACCAGACTCAGGGTGACAAGTATGACATGTTTTCTCTCATATGCAGACTGTTTTGCTTTTAAAGACAAGAAAGTAGAAAGGGCCATCAGGAGGAGGGAGGGAGGACAAGTGAGGAGGCTAAATATAATCAAAGTACATTATGAGCATGCATAAAAATGTCACAGTGAAACCCATTATTTGTACAACTAATACGTGGTAATAAAAAAACCCAGAAAGAGCAATGACTAATTTTTGCCTAATTAAAAATCATGCATAATCAAAGGGTATTTTGCAGCATAAAGAAGCAATGCCTGTGAAAACAGTGAAGTCCTGTCAAGTGAAAAGAGAAAGATGGAGGTTTAGCTCTGTAGGCAGAGGGGATGGGGACGACAGAAAGGTCCAACACCACCATGCACCCTGCAAGGAGAGTCAGCAGGCAGTCTAAAGACAGTCAAGTAAAGCCAGAAGTTCTGTGCTAAAATACAATGATTGTCACCCGGCTTGTTGCTTTATTTTGTCCTCCTATTGTTTACTGTCCTGAATTAAAAAAAAAAATAATAATAATATTCGCACATGACATTCAAAATGGCAGCTAAAGCACAGAAAAGAAAAAAAATATTTTTAAGATAGGCAAACCAGGAAATCTCAAATAGGGTGAGAGGTCTTGAAGGCGTGCCAAGAACAGGACAGGGACTAAGAGGGGGATCCTGGGCCTCTCGCTTTCCTTCCACTGGAATCTGCTTGAGCAGTTCCCCAGTGACATTCTTTGTGTGAAACTGGGCTGTGAGCCCACAGTTACTGCAAGGTAGGGAGGAAGAGCACACAGAGAGGCGACCTCGCACATGACATTCAAAATGGCAGCTAAAGCACAGAAAAGAAAAAAATAGTTTTTTAAGATAGGCAAACCGGAAATCTCAAGTAGGGTGAAGGTCTTGAAGGCGTGCCAAGAACAGGACAGGGACTAAGAGGGGGATCCTGGGCTCTCGGGGCCTTCTCCTTCCCACTGAATCTGGTTGAGCAGGTCCAGTGACATTCTTGTGTGCAAACTGGGTGTGAGCCCACAGTTACTGCAAGGTAGGGAGGAAGAGCACACAGAGAGGCGACCTGCTGGAAAAGTTGACATGGAGGAGAGGACAGGAGACTCTCCCTCAGGGACCCTCCTGCCTTGTGGTCGCTTACTCTAGAGGCTGGCAGAATACCTTCTAAAGCAACTGGTGGTGTGTGTAAGTGAGTGACTACAGATCCCCCACCCACAGAGTGGCAGCAGCAGTCAAGTTAGAGTACGGGATGAGGGAGTTTCGTTAGTGGAGCTGACAGTACCTTAGGTCAGCTCTTTCAGACCGAGAAGCCCACTTGGACCTCCCAGTTGGCGAGTTTCCAGGTAGCTCCTCTGCCAGTCTTGCTTCCCAGCCTGGTCACCTTTTACTGCACTCAGAGTCCCAAGGCCTCCATGGCACACTCCAAATGTTAGCTCCTAAGTCGTTTTTTCTTGCAAGAGTTTCTGGAAAAAACAAAAACAAAAGTACAATTATTATGTCAGTTATTTTGAAAGAGAGAGCAAAGAGAAGAAAATCCACCAATCACAGAGAGGCTCTGATGCAGCATCACAGTGCAGATAAATACTAGCCAGCTGGATGGCAGCTGCTGGCCTGTGCCATCCTGGGTCTACACTATCTAGCTTTAAGAACATGGTGCTAAGGTCTGAATATTTGTATCTCCTCAAAATTCACAGGTTGAAACCTAATCCCCAATGTGAAGGTAGCAGGAGGTTGGGCTCCAGAGGGGTGATTCGGTCATGGGGGCGGAGCCCTCTAGAATGGGATTAGTGCCCTATGAAAGGGAGAAAGGGATCCCAGGGTGCTCCTCTGTCTCTTCCTCCAGGTGATGCCACAGCAGAAGGTGAGGTGTCTTCTGTGAAACAGAAGACATCACCATACCCTCAAGCTGCTGTTGCTGGTGCCTTGACCGTGGCCTCGCCAGCCTCTAACTGTGAGCCATAAATGTCAGTTGTCCACAAATTACCCAGCCCAAGGCAAGACTAAGGTACTTGGAAAACATAATCTCCCTGTCTTCTGAATTTGGGGCTGTCATGACAAAGTGCCAGAGATGGAGTGGTTACGAAGCAGAAATTTCTTTTCTCACACTTCTGGAGGCTGAGGGCCAGATCAAGGTGCTGACTCGAAGCTCCTGGTAGAGGTTTGCTTCTCTTGGCTGGAGGCTGGCTGCCTTCTCACTGACTTTTCCTTTGTTTGGTGCATGGCGGCCCCCCTCGAGTTTCCTCCTCCTTTTTTATGGCATCAGTCTTATCAGATTAGGATGGGAATGCCACCTTTATAACCCCTATACAACCCTAATTACCTCCCAAAGGCCCCACCTCCAAACAGTCACATGGGGGCTTATAGCTTCCACATGTGAGTTGAGGCGACTCATCCAGAACACTCCCTGTGTCTCAGTGACCACCCCCATCTTCCCAGCATGGGGACCTTAAAAGAGCTTTGAGAGAGAAAGGGAAAGCATGGCCATACCTGTCCAGGACAGGTATCCAATCCACAAGGGACACTTGACACTATATAGACCCCCAGGGCCACCACAGGCCACATCCAAAGGGACATCCCTGCACACTTCACCCACGTACCCAGGCTCCTCCAGCCCTGTCTGGCCTACCACGGCTCCCACAGGTCCCAGTTAAAGCCCCCCCCCAGCACCCCCTCACCTTCTGCCGCAGTCTCTGGTAATAGTACTCGCTTTCCATCACCAGCTCTGCCAGCTCTTGAGCGTGCCCCCGTAGCTCTTCCGCCAGCTCTGCTCTCGGTCCGTCCTTCAGTTGCTTCCAATCTTTCGAGACAGCAGCCAAGTCCCGGCCAAGGAATAAGGCGGTCACGGCCCCTCCTATCATGCAAGCATTTTTTGTCATTGCCAGTGCTGTGCCTCCAAAGGCCTTTTGTACCTGCCTGCTGTGTCGGCCTGAGACTTGGCCGGTGGTCAGGAGATGCTTGGCTGCAATGGCCAGGTGTGGGTGGGCTCTGGCTTGTCGAAAGGCATGGGTGTGCTTCCTGATGATTTCCAAAGCGCTTCCACAATCGTAGACAATCTTACTGGCAGCTCTGATGTAGGATGTCTTCTCTCCCCCCGCCTGCTTGAGCTCCTGGTGACCAGTGGGCACTAGGCTGCTGGCCTGAGCTCGGGCTTTTTTTTTGCAAGAGTTTTCCAACATGTCAGTTACAACACTGGTGACCCTTGCTGCTACTCCAAAACTTGGCCAACAGCTGTGAGAAGCAGGCTTCCTCCCACTGTTGCTGGAGCCAGGGCGAAACCCAGGAGGCTCATGAGTCCAGAGGCGACAGAGGTGGAGTTGACCACTGCTTTGGCCTGGGTGATGCTTTTGTGGGCTGTGTCAATGTCATCTGTGAGGGCTGGAGCTGTCTAATGGCCATTTCTTGATCCCGTTTCCACCTAGGGAACTCTTTTCAAAAACACCCTTTCTGCAGCCGACAGGTCTGTGTCTTGTAGCTGTCCACCTTCACCCAGAGGCACGTCATCCATGTCGCTACAGATGAGGAAGAAAAAAGACTTGACTTCAGCCTCCCAGGTGGGGGTTGGGGGGGTGAAGAAGCCCCGGCAGCTGCCAGATGTTCTGCCACTCACAATTTGTACCTTTCCTGCATCTCTCTAAAAAGTCCCTAAAGAGTTTTACAGTGTCACTGAGAAGTTCAACCCTTGCAGAAAGCTAGAGGTCTCATGAAGAGAAGAACAGGTAAGAGGGGCATCTGGATGGATTGATGGGAGTGACCTTAGCCATGGCCAGATAGACCTTCCCCAGGGACACTTCCAGCCATGCTAAGAGGACCTGGACACTGACCCAGAGAAGGGCCTCAGGAAACGCAAGGATCCTGCTTGAGATGGAGGGAGAGATCTGAGAAGAGTAGGAGACAGAGGCAGGGTGGCAGGCAGGGTTTGGGAGTCCTGTATGTGAGGTAAGTCAAAGAGAAGAGGGGCCAGATTACATTAAACATTCTGTACTTTGATGACCTTGACTTCTGCTATGGCTGTGCCTTTGCTTCTCTGAAGAACTGGACTTTGAGAGGGTTGTGACAACCCTCTCAAACTAAATGTTCTGGATATCCTCCTTTGGCCCCTGGCCACCTTGTTCTCTCAGCAGGTGGGATCAGCCATTCATGGAAAAAATTTGGGACAAAGGGCTCAGGCCCCTAGCATTTTACAGGGCAGAGTGGTGAGGGGTCTTTGCTAGCCCACTCGAGTTTAGCCTTAACAGGAACAGCATCAGGAAGGGCAAAGGTGGGTTTTTTGTGCACCTTCTGTCAAGTACCATCCCTGAATTTCCTTCAGGGAGAACAGAGGAGGCTGGTGACAACAAAGGAGCCCAGGAAGGAGCAGAGTCACCTCCTTCACTTTTCAATGGAGGGACCTGACGTCCAATGAGAAAAAGGGGGACCCTCCCCAAGGGACTATGTGAGTCTACGAGGGTGCTCTGGACAGGCACCAGGCACTCTGAGACTCTCAGAAATCTTTGCTGGCCCTCTCATCTGTCAGCTGATACCTGGATTCTCACTGAAGCACAGTCTGTGTCAGTATCTGTGCAGGACAGGCTCCAGGACCCACTGGACCCCACACCATGGATGTTGAGGTCCCTTTATAAATGCATAGTATTTGCATGTAACCTGTGTATGTCCTCTGCATACTTTAAATCACCTTTAGATTACACATAATACCTAAAACCATGGAAGCACAGTGGGAGTAGCTGTTGCCCTGTGTTGTCTATGGAAAATGAATGGGAAAGGAAGTCTGTACGTGTTTGGTATGATGCAGCCATCACAAGCCTGTCTACACAGTTCATGTTGGCAGTGGGTTGAATCACAGATACAGCGCTGGCTGTATATATAGATATGCAAATGCACTTACCTTTGAATCGATCTCTGATGCTGTGCACACATAGCAATTCCTTGACAAGAAGTCAAATACCCACCAAGAAAACCCTTTGCTTTTAAAACTCTATTTGGTGGTACTAGGATTTGAACTCAGGGCCTTGTGCTTGCTAGGTAGGTATTCTACCACTTGAGCCATACTCCAGCCCAAGAAAACCCTTCAGTGTTAACAGATAAATGGATTTAGGCTCAATTATCAGTTACTCAGTAGATGTAAATCAAGTAACACAGTGAAGGCCCCCCGGGGGCTTGCATTGGGAAGGGTGGGATGAAGGCAAGGAGGTCAGCCTGCTGAGGAACCCCAAACTGTACAAATGTCATGGCTAGTCCACCCTGATCTCTGCATTTCCTCAGGTGTGTAAGGACAGAGAGAAAGAGCAAATAGAGACAGAGCTGGAAAGATCAGTGAGGCCACTGTGGGTTAATTAGCTATAGAGGTTTGTGTCTATGGTTGGGAGCCAATGGAAGCTTGGCTTCTTGTGTTTCTTAATTAAACCGAATATCTCAGGGGTGGCCGTCTGTGCCCCAGGATCTCCTGTATTGGGCAGCCATGCTGCCTGGCACAGGAAAAGATCCCAGTCTGGATCTGTGAAGTTCTGCACAGACAGCTCACCGATTCACCTGCTCCTGCTGCGATGGATGCTGGCGGTGTTACAGCTGCTGATTGATGCATAATTGGCCTTGAATTCATTACTATTAAAGGGCTTCCTTGGTGGCATATGGTCTTGAAGACTTGAGTTCCTGGGACTCACAGAAGGGAGTCTCCAGAGTGCAGCAATTGCTGTCCTTGGCATCCCAAGGCCAACGTCATTCACCTGACTAAATCTTGAGTTATTTCCCAAATATTTAGTTATTTTTTCCCTGGGACAATATGTCTGCCTCTGCAAATCAGAGACTGATGAGAAGGCAAGGCTCACCTCCAGCCAGCCCTGGTGGAACACAGCCATCCCTAATCATGAGGAAGCTCGCAGCCTTCCCCAGGGCCTGAGCTCTGGTGGTTACCTTTGCAAATCAACACCAGCCTCTCCATCTTTCCCTGCCTGGTTGTCCGGTTGTGCTCGTACCAAATCCATGTCCTCACAAGTCAAATGGTCTGCTGTTCAGAAATATGGAAAACAAAGTCACTGTACATGTCATAAAACCTTATGAAATTCAGCCGGGTGTCTGTGGCTCATACCTGTAATCCTAGCTGCTTAGGAGGCAGAGATCTAGAGGATTGTGTGTTCGAAGCCAGCCTAGGGAAAATAGCTCACAAGATCCTAGCTTGAAAACACCCATCACAAAAAAGGACTGGTAGAGTGGCTCAAGGTGTAGGCCCTGAGTTCAAACCCCAGTACCGCCAAAAAAACCCAAACTTACAAAATTCAAGTGCATAGGGATTTTTAGATTATGCAAAATCAAAGTTATAATGAAACACATATGGACTAAATATTTACAAACTATTGTTTTTTAATTTTATATTTACGTATAGACGTATAGCTCATATACAGTAAGTGCCTACAATGAAGTACTCAGCTCAACACATTTTTATACCTTTTTTGAAAGGAAACACTTTGGCATAAGGATTATTTTTAGATAAAGATGAATTTTAAAAAACCAGGTACAGTATTTTCCCCTTAAGCTCCCCAGGGGATGCTGACACCAAGGCTAGCACCAAGCCTTATGTGTACTATGTCATACTGAGTGGCTAATGGACAGGTGACATGTACCGAGTGGAAACACCAAACAAGTAGGAGAGAGCAAGGCAGCACAGATTCCATCAGGCAACTCAGACAGTGCACAATTTAAACACTTAAGAATTATTTCTGAAAGTTTCCATTTGATATTCTAGGGTGTGGTTGACCATCTGTAGTGGAAACCCTGGAAAGCAAAACTGGGGGGAAATGGGTACTCGATGTACTGTTGCCACCCACAGCAAGACTGCCCCTTTGCAGTCTTTACTGCAGTTTTTACTCCAGAGGTAACCATACTCTGACTTCTATAATTATTGAGATTATATATATATATATATATATATATGCATTTTAATCATTGTCCTTAGAAATTATAAAGACTATACAGGATTTGGAAATGAGACTGTACCGGAAGCCAAAGAAGAATCGTCCCTTCTATGCCTTTCTTTTGCCTGGACACTCAGAAGTCCAATGTCACCAGCTCTGATTGTTGCTGCTTGTCACCACACATTATTTTAAGCCAGACATTCACCATAGTCTACTTTCCCTTCCACATAAATTCAAGACCTTTCCTCTCATAACGACATGCCACATCCCTAAGACCTGGCTGGAGCACTGACACTCTGTCTTCTGACTGACGTCACCCATTCGGTAGACTTCACTGCCCGATTGCCACATCTCACTGTTACTAGAGAAAATATTGTGACTGGATTTTTCCTTTCACCTGTGTCATGACAGGGTCCTGACCCACTCACCCAAGTAACTGCACATGACTCAGAGATCTATCCAGAATCAAACTGCTGGCTAGCTCAGACTTGTGTCTTACAAACTGATAAGGCATCTGTGATACAGGTCTTCAAATCATGGCTTTTTTTTTTTTTTTTTTTTTTTCTTACAATCTAGCCTTTAGGATTTTCCTCCGTGCCTACGTAGGCCTGGGTGCATACCACAGTCACGACTTGTGACTTTTTCTTGAAATTCATATAAATGGAGTCATTTGTTTGCTTCTTTCACTCAATATAATGTTTGTGAAAATCATCCATGTTGTGGATAAAGATTGTTTTAAAATTGGTATTGCTGTGTAGCAATATGTAAATATATTAACAATTGGTTCATCTAGTCTATGAATTGATCTGTTTGGATTGTTTCTTGCCATTGGCTGTTGTGAACAAATGTATTCTAATAATTCAAAGTTCATTTTCACAGGACAAGACATTCATAAGGACTCTACGAGTTGTGTTCCTAAGGACACGCTACAAATTACAGGAGGCCATTGTTTTGGACTGAGCTCCAGCACTGGGCTCCAGCAGGACAGACTAAAAACTAAATGGAGTTACTCATCCTGAAGCTCCCGACACCTTCAGAGAGGTCGGGAGAGAAAGTGCTCAAATGGGCCAGCTTCGGCCAAAGTTCCCTCTCCCTTAGTCATTACCCCCAAAAAAACCTAGTGCTACCTTGCAAGGACAAGACCCTGAGTTCAAACCCTAGTACCACCAAAAAAAAAAAGAACACGATGTTGAGGGGTTACTTCTAATTGTCTTCGCCGTGTCCCCTCTACACAGGAGAGTAACTTTATCAGCCCTCTCCGTCTCTAAAACCAGCTTGCTCTGCTCAGCTCATTGGAACATTTGCTCTATTTTATGCAATGAAGTGTTGCTTGTTTTGTTGTTGTTGGCTGGGACTGGGATTTGAACTCAGGGCTTCACACTTGCACAGCAAGTGCTTTACAACTTAAGCCACTCCTCCAGACTATTTTACTCTGGTTATTTTTGGGGATGGAGTCTTGAGAACTATTTGCCTCCTAAGTAGCTAGCATTACAGGATTGAGCCACCGGCACCCGGCTCACCCAATTCTTGAATTGAAAATAAAGCCTGTTAATTTCTTTAAATTTCTTGTGATTTGTCTTTGGCAATAAGAACACATACTTGGTTCTCCTAGCTGTTGTTGGCATACAGCAACTAAAATCTTTGGAATTCCTAAGCGATAAGAGCAGGAGAGAAGGGATGTTGTGTTGCTACTCATAGCAAGCCCCTTTCAACGGCATGGAGTTTCTGTTAATGAAGTGACTTTTGGAAAGCCCCTAAGAATGGGGAGGTGCCTAGTTGCCAGGGAAGCAACCATGATTAGAGGGTTGGAACTTTGAGCCTTGCCCTTGACTTCCAGGAAGGGAAAAGGGCTGGAGACTGGCTGATGTCACTCGGACCTATGTGTTAAAGCTTCAAAAAACCAAACAGGACCGGTCAGGAGACCATTCCAGGTGGTGACACCAGAAATACCTGACAGCGGCCTGCTAGAGAGAGAGGGTATGTGCCACAGAAGCACTAGCGAGCAGCACGAAGTGTCTCCTGGGATTCCGTGAGCCATTCTCACAGCTTATCCAACCCAAGGCAGAGGTTGTGGGAACCGTCAATGTATAACTGATCAGCCACAAGTCCAGGAGGCTGGGACCTATGATTGGCATCTGAAGTGGGACAGGCCGTGGCCTGAGCCCCTAGCCTGTGGGGTCTGATGCTATCTCCAGGTGATGGTTGTCAGAATTGGGTTAACTTGCAGGACACTCAGTCAGGTTCCCCAAGAAGTGAATTGCTTGGTGTGGAGAATACACAGACACAGACACAGACACACACACACACGAGACAGAAGTGAACTGGTATGGGTACTGAAAGCATTCATGGAGCAGAATAGAGCCGAGAGGAAATGGGAATTTCTCCTAAGTTATGAGAACTGCCAAGGGCCCTGAGTGCACACATGGTGTCTAAAATCCATCCTGGGATCCATGGGGCTAGGGATGGGGGAACACTCTGTCTATTTGGAGAAAGGAGCATTTTTATTGGTTGGTCAATTAATTGATTGCACAAAGGTTCTATCTGCTTGTAGACCCGTGTGCCCACAGAACTATAGCACTTTGGGGGAGGGGCAGTGCCATGGCTCGAACGTTGGCTATCCCCTCTGAAACACGCTGGACTTTAATCCCCATCATGAGGTATCAAGAGGGTGGAAACTGAATCCAATATGGCATTTAAAGGCAGGACCTTTGGGAGGTGATTAGGATAAGGTCATGATGGCTTGTAAGGAGAGGGAGACCGGAGAAGCGTCACATCTGCTCCCTGTCTCTTGTCAGATGATGGCCGGATCACCTTGGGATGCTGCCAATAAGAAGGCCATTGCCCGCTGTGGCTCCTTGGCCTTGCACCTTCAGAGCCTCAAGCCAGGATAAACCTTTTCCATAGAGCTTAGCCAGTCCTTGGAATTGTGTTCTTAGTAACAGAAAACAGACCAGCCCAGGGCCGTGTGGGCAGAATGGTCACTCTGACAGGTTTATGTCTAGAAAAACACTTATCTTCTCTTATTGCGTAGTTGACACTATATACCTCTGGGACCAAAGTGTGTGTGGGGTCCCCCGATGCTCTCCCGGGGACACCTACTGGGAGTCCTCCAACTCAACTCAATTCTGAAAATACCGAGAGATAGCAGCAGGTTCCATAGCCAAGGACTCAGCTCTACAAGTCTTTCCACCACTTCAGATGACAGCTGCTAGTCCAGGCCTCTGGAACTTCTGACCAACAAGCTACATACACACTTGGGGTTCCAACCACCCCTTCATTAAGTTCGATCAATTTGCTGGAGCAGTTCACAGAACTCAGGGGAACACTGGGAATCCTCATTTGTTGTAAAGGCAATGACAAAGGCCACAGAGGAAGAGCCAGATGAAGAGGTACAGTGAACTCTCGTGTGTTCCCCCAACCCCATAACCCAGGGATCTTTACAGAGGCTGCACTTGGACAGCATGATCAAATTACTAATTCCCCCTCTGGCCTGTTCCCAGAGAAAGAGTGTGTGGAGCTAAAAGTTGCAAATGTGTAATCATGGCTTGGTCTCTCTGGTGGCCAGCCCACAGCCAGAGGCCCATCAAAAGCCTTCTCACTCCCATCACCCAGGAAATTCCAAGGGACCAGGAGCTCTGTGTCAGGAACTGGGGTCAAAGACCAGATATTAGATCAAGAGGAGAAAGCAGCGAGAGAAGGGTGAGGCGTGCAGCTGGTGGAAGGACAGAGTGACATTCTAAAATACAAGGGAAGTATTTTAATGTGATTGACAGGTCTTTGTGCTCTGTGTGTGTGCGTGTGTGTGTGTGTGTGTGTGTGTGGTGCTGGGGATGGAGCCCAGGGCCTCTCCTGTGCTAGGCAAGCCCTCCACTACTGAGCCTCACCCGAGCCCACTCCTGCTGTTTTTGAATGTCTGGGCCATTTGTCATTCCACCTTTCTTCCACAAAGGCAGTGCTGGATTTTGCTGTCCCCGGCTGGGAGTCAGCTGGCAGGAGGACATATACCTTGGCAGATGGAGATGTGTCTGCTGCTGTGATGTCCAAAACAGTGTTGCTGCCCTTCTCAATATTCCAAGTGGCTTGGTGTCCAGCTGGGAAGGGATGATGTTTGTTCTCCCTGAAGGAAAAGACAGACGGACCTTCTTACTGGTGGCGGCAGAGTATGGTGAAATGGAGTCAAAGCCCCTCTGTATCCCTTACCAGGGATATCCCTTACTCACTGCTTCTCTTTCATTACTGTGAGATAGCTAGTGAAATGCCCACCTCGGTCACTGCACTTTTCATAATTTCAAATGCTCTATTCAAAGGAAAGGACTCTCCAATTGGGTCTGAAACAAACCCCAACTGCGTGCTTCTCTTAAGAGACACATCTGAGATGCTGAGGTTCCTACCTGGCTTCTGAACTAAGCCGAGTCCAAAACCCTTCCCGGCTCACAAAGTTCCTAACTGCCTGGGATTTGAACCCTGGTTGCCATAATGACAGCTCTTTTCCTGAACCAGGAGCCTGGAGCCTCTTAGGCATCTTGTCCTTCAGGAGTCCAGCAGCAGCCCTCCTTTCCTCCCAGCCTTCTGTCCTCCTCCTCTAGGCCCCTAGAGAAAAGGTGACCCCAAGCTCTCTGCTCACCTTTCTGCACACCTCTGGTCTTTCTGGGAGCTGGGAGCTGTGTCTGAGCTGCAAAGGAACAGAGGACAGAGTAGCTCACCAGTCAGGCCACTGCCCAGGGTTTAGACCCGAGGCTCATGGGCAAATGGGAGCAGCGTTGTGAAACTGGGCTAGAGTTAACTGCCAAAATGGCTGGAAAGCAACCACCCAGGCCATGAGTCAACTCTCAGTCAGCCATGGGCTTACCGAGAAACTGTGCTTACTGAGAAACACATGCCCAGCGAGGTGGGAAAGAAAAGTCAAAGCCAGAGGCCTGAGTCTCCCACCTCTCCTTCCTAGCTGTGTGACAGGCCACATAATGGGTGATGACTGCCAGGCAGTGCATCTAAGAACTGAAGCTTAGGAAGCAGGGCGCTCACCTGCCCTTGGCCTTGACTTTCCATCTGTGAAGTGGGAATTACAATAGCCCCTATGGCTTGGAGCTGTATGAGAAGCCTGTGAACAAGCAATACCATACTTGGTCTGTGACAACAACAACAACAAAACACGATTCATGGTAGCTGTGACAATTGAAACACCGTTGTCCCCCACTGCATCTTACACAAGTGCATGACCCTTGGCCGAGCCCCATGAGAGATGGCAGGAGAGGGCTAATAACCGCTATCTGTGATTCTTCAATGCAGAATCCTCAGCAAAAGACAACTGTTAAAGTAACTGATTCATGTGGTGGTGAAACCTGACCTGAAGTGGCATAAATTTACTTACAGACTTTATGTATGACACTTTAAGTATTCCTAGATTAACTGTAGGAATATTAGCATGCTTGACTCAGGATGGCTACTAGGGGTTTTACATAATATGTAATATCCACTAACTTTTCTAAAAGATCCCAAAACATCAGGACCTTGGAAATGCATCCGGCCTGAAAAGATTCCAGGTACAGTGACGTGGTCCCAGATCTCCCATTTTGCAGAGGAGGAAGCTGAGACCTTGAGAAGGTCTCGGCCATGTCCCACAGCTGAGATGGCATGGCCAGCACTAGGCTCTGTATCCAGGAATGAGCCTACAGTGAGGTCGCTGGCTGAGATGTGTCTTTCCAGCAATCTAGTGCACACCAGACTCAGGGATCTGGTGGCTTATTCATACGTATGTGCCTGGAAGTCTCCAGTTCCCACTCCAGCTGAGGCCACACTGGGGCTGTTACTTTGCAGGTATGTCCCACCTAACCAGTCCTGAGGTTGGCTACACTGATGTCCCCTGGACCCTATGAGTAAGGGTAAGAGGCTGGAGACACCGAGCTAAGTCTCAGAGCAGCCTTCCAGCTTGCCACACTGGAGACACTGAACAGAGGCTGTCCTTGAAGAGGGACCATTCAGGTTGTCTGCTGTGTTCTCTGTTACGGGTCTTGGTATCTGAAGAGGTTCTGAAACCCATGTCCCATGATACTGAGGACAACTGTACTTAGTACAGCACTTGGAACCAAGCCTGACACATAGCTCTTCATGGCACTTTATAAATGTTATTTTGTTAATTTTTGCTACCACTCAAGGTCTTATCATTTTGTTAGATATCAGAATCATATTCAAAAATATGTAGGAATGTCAGCTGCAATTCAGGCCTGCATTGCGTATTCTGCCGGCCTGCTTGGAGCAGGGTGATTTAGATGAGAATCGAGGCTATAAAGACAGTGTTTCAGTTAGCAGGTGGCAAGTGACCTGATCATTCAGGACCCTAAGGCACAACAAGAACTTACCGGAAGACTGCTGGCCTTGCTCGGGTTAGGTTAATTCCAAACCAGGGATCCCATGCCAGCAGGCCCAGAAGGGACCCTGGGATCCAGAAGATCCACAGGTCGAACCCTGGCCCAGGCAGTGACCACATGAGGGATGGGCCTGAAGAGCATTGTCATCCTCCGTTCTCAGATTCCAGGAATCCCTCCTCTTCTCCCTGGCAGCAGGTCAGGCAGTTGGAGTGAGCATGGCCCAGCGGGTATAAGCCACTAAGGATAGCAAAATTTCCATCTCTGTCCCACAGCCCCGCCTAGAAGCAGTTCCAGGATCCTGGAAACTGGGCAGGGCAGAGTAGGTGGAGACAAGTCCCAGGCCAGACCCTCCCTGCCTGCTCTCCAGATGCTGCTGGCCCTCATCTGCCTCCCTGGTCCCTGCTGTGGCAAAGACTTCCTGTGCAAATGGGTGCCGCACACAGGACTCAACATTCATTGGAGACTCTTGAGAGGACGTCCCCCTCCTTCTGTTTCCTTGCATTAGAAATGACACTTGTCACCTTGGGGTTGAGGTACAGGAACTGCCATGTGCAAAATGCTCCATTCTAGGACTGCTTTCCACTGGTCTCACTTCATCCTCCTATGACGTGGACATTCATGGGTTAAGGAGTTCACCCAAGGTCATGTGACTGACCAGCCAGGGTTGGTATTAGAACCAAGGTCTGTCCAGCTCTAGTTCTCTCTCCACAAAGCCTCCATGTCTCTTCTACAGATGGATGAACAAATGACTCTTGCTGTCCCTTGAGGGAGCCTGGCCAGGTTGGCAGTGGGTGTGGACAGGGGCTGGAACAGAGGCAAAGAACAGTTAGCATTTTAGCTAGCAGGTTGCAAGTGACCCACTCCTCTGGGACTCAAGTAAGCCACAAGAAGGATTTACTGGAAGGCTGTTGGTCCTGCCTGTCATCATACTGCAGGTCACAATCCGTTAGCTTATCATGAAATCAGTTTAGTGGGTCTCAGTAGTAATAAAAGAAAATGGCATAGAGTAAAACAAATATCAGAGTGTATTGAGTATAAGCATTGGTTCATGGAAATTATGCACATATGATTACAGCACACATAAACATTTATGTGTGTGTGTAATCTGCCTCGAAACATTCAGTGGATCCCAGGTAGACTGTTTGAGGGCTTCTATTGTGCTCACAGAATCAAAGGAAAATCTTTCACCTTGCCTCATTCTGTTCCACTCTGGGCTATTTCTCTAACCAAGAGAAAATGTATTTGATTTGTGTCTTTCCAGCCCTGGATTGTAGGAGCAAGATCCAGTAAGACAGTCCCTTGGGAGGGTCTCTCCCCAAACCTGTGTCTGGCTTCCACAGTCTGTAGTTGTGAGATGTGGCTGGCTGTCATTCCAGCTGGAGGGAGCCCCGTTCTCTATCCCAGAGCAACAGCCACAGACTGTTCCTGGAGCCACCAGGTTGAGGGAGGAAGAATGGGGCCCAAGCAAAGGGAGTCCCTGGACAAGTTCCCTGATGAATGTCCTCTGCCAGAAGATTAGGCATTAATGAACTGGACCACCTGGACCACATTCTGCAATGTGCCTTGTTCCCGGGCAGCTGGCCCTCAGCGTGGGGGACCGGGGGGTCCTCATGCCCTTGCTGGCAGCCCGCTATGCTCCAACTGAAGTTCCCATTTCAGGATGCCCACTATCCTTTCTGGATCTGGGCTTCTGGAAAGGCATGGTTCCCACGGGACGGATCCATATCTCCCACAGACTTGGTTCTTCTGTCAACTCCCTCCTTGGCATCAGGACTTCCACCTGGCTGAGGGTGGCGTCACCTCACCCAAGTGTTTGTTTATATATCCAGGGCACTGCTAGGGTGGCCTCAGGAAGTGTGGCCATGGCAGAGGATGAAGTCCACAAGCCACCTGAGCCCAGTTGTGGACCAACACGCCTGGCTCTGCCCTCCTGCTATGACTGTGGGCACACACTTCCCTAGCAGGATAGGCAGTTGGGCTCTTGCTGGCTGGCCAGGGGTTCCTCTGTGACTGCATCCTCATAGGGAATCCAGAAGGGGCAGCCCCAACCTCAAGAACATGTGTGGGGACTGGAGGTGTGGCTCAAGTGGTAGAGTGCCTGCATTGCAAGCACGAAACCCTACCAAAAAAAAAAAAAGAACACGTGTGGTCAAAACTACAGTAAGTTTCCATCTCATCACAGCCAGATTGGCCATCAAGAAGAAAACACCACACACACACACACACACACACACACACACACACACACAAATGGAACTATTACTCAGCCATAAAAATGACATTATGTCACATGCAGGAAAATGGATGGAACTGGAGACGGTGATGCTGAGTGAGATAAGCCAAGCTCAAAAGGCCAAATATTGCATGCACTCTCTCATTTGGGGAAGCTAGATCTAAAATGAGGATGATAATAAATACAATGGAACATGAATGTAAATGGGGGACTCTGTGGGGCGATCAGTAGGAGGGGGAGGAGGAAAGGATAACAGTGATGCAGAGGATGGAAGCTACATATAAAGGCAGCATAATGCAACCCACAAACACTGAAAAGGGAGGGGATGGAAAGATAAAGGAGGGGTAAACTTGTTCAAGGTACTGTATATGCGTGTGTGGAATTATCACAGTGGAACCCCTTGTATTATTAATGTATGCTAATTCAAATTATAAAATAAAATTTAAAACAAGAATGAGTGTGGGATGTGGGTGGCTCCTCTGGAGCTGCCAGAACCCCACCTTCCCTGAGCCTCTGT